TTTTTTTTTCTAAATATTCTTTGATTTACTTTTCTTTTAGATTGAAAACATTACAAGATCAAAATATTAAATGTTACCAAACAAAAGCCAAGGTAATTTAGATGAAGTTGCATATAATTAAAAATGAAAAAAAAAACTTGTATAAGAAAAATAAATATCTTTTAGCTCGTACAAGTCGTATCGATGATATATCATCGGATTATTCTCAACGTCGTGCACATTTTTTAACTGGATTAATCAATGAAACAACATCTCGTAATGGACAAATTGAAAATGGTTCATATGGTGTTACAACAGCAAAAGCTCCATCTGATACTAATGGAAATGATACAAAAAAACGTTCACGTTCATTTGCACGTCCAACAATTCGATCAGCTGTACCAAATTCACAATTAATAACAATTATTAAACGACCATCACAATCGAAACATGGTATTTTATTTTATTTTATTTAAATATGATTTCTTTTTTTTGCTTTAAGCTGGTCAAAAAGTTGAACTTTATACGAATCATTTTCGAATAAATTTTTCCAAACAAACAAATGAATTAATATTATATCAATTTGATTTTAAATTATTCGTACGAGATGGTTTATGGCGTTCATGTCGAAAAGACGAACGTTTACAAGTTCTTAAAAAAATTCTTGAACAAGAACATTTTCCACTTGTGTGGTATGATGAAGGAAAAAATTTATATTCAATTGAAAATTTAATATTAAATTATGAACAAGCATATCAATGTGAAATTAAACATGAACCAACAGGACGAACAAATAAATTTCTCTTTAATTACAAATCTTGTTAAAACATATAAATTAAAAAATATTTTTGATTTTATACAAAAAAAAATTTCCCAACAACCACATGATCTTATTCGAATATTGGAAACATTTAAACAAACACAAATATCAGATATGATTAAAATTAAAAATCAATCTTATCCAAAACATCAACCATTGGAAGATATAGGTAGAAACAAAAAATCGACTTGAATTTTTTATATATGAATTTTTTTTTGTTATAGGTTGTGGACGAGGAATGGCATTAGGTTTTTATCAAGGAATCGTACTTGGTGAACGTAGTCCGACAATAAATATTAATAATATATTTTGTTGTTTTTATCAAAATTATAATTTAGTTGAATTTATTTCTTGTTATTTGAATCATGATATTCGAGAACGTGGTCAGTTAACACAATTTTCTAGTTGAATATTGTTTTTTTTTGTGTTGAAGGTATTCCATCAAAATATCAATTAATTGTTGGAAAAATTTTAGAAACTCTTTGGTTTCTATTACCATGTGCCGATGAAATTGGTCCTTATCGTTTTCAATCATTTCATCATTCAGCAAATGGACATACATTTAATAATAATAAAAATGAACAAATTGTTAGCTGTAGTCATGATAAAAATAATATTTACATTATACATTATCCAAATTTACCTCTTATCAAATTATACCATCCAGATTATACAAATCAAACATGTATTGTACCAATGGAATTCATTACTGTTGATCAAGGGCAATTAAGTCTTGCACCATTTACTACAAAACAATATGCCGAAATAAAAAAAATAATTGCTGTTGGTCCTCAAGAATGTTACGAAATGATTCAAAGTATTACCAATATTCAAAGTATTACCAATGAACATTTAAAAAATCTTGGTATTACTGTTGATAATGAAATGTTAATGGTACCAGCTCGAATATTACCACAATTACAAATTAAATATAATGATGTTATTGGACGAGTCCAAATTGGTAAATGGTACTTAGATAATCGTTTTAATAAAGTACGTGAAATACGTACATGGGCTGTTGTTTTTATTAATCAACATGAATTAGATAATCGACAAATTGATTTAACAAGAGATTTTGTTCAAAAAATTCGACAGGTTATAATTGAATTTCTTAGACATGAATAAAAAACAACTTGTTATTCTTTTATTAAAGGCTATGTCAAAATATGCTATTCAATTTAATTCATCACCTATTGAAAAATCTGATGTAGCTGTACCACAAACAATTTTAGCTCATATAAATGAACTAAAAATGCAGGGATGTGAAGTTATTATTTATATTCTTAATCAAGTGGATAATGATATTTATGATGTTATTAAAGATTTTGAAAATGTTGAAACTGGTAAGATCATATTTCTATTATATATGAGATAAGGACTATTCTTGCTAAATAAGCAGATGAATATATAAGGAAATTTATGTGAAATATATGGTTTATTAACTAGAGCCAGTCGAGGTCAAAAAGTATTAAACTCAAATCCAAATTTAATTTATTGATCATCTTTCAAACTTGAGCTGAAACCTCAACCTTTGCTTTTAATACTTTCATAGAAGTTTGTTCTTCTCTGAATCTAATTAGAGTTCCTCATATTTAAAATATTCAGATTCGAACCCAACCCACAGTCAGTCGAGTTCAGATTTTACTCGACGGATTCTAATCATGATGCAATAATTTCACAGAAATCTTATCGTAAACAACTCATTGATTCAAATGATACATATTTATGTTCTTTCCTTCATTTTTATAGTTTGATTATGAACAAAAAAGAGTTATTTTTAAGATACGATAATTCAATGTGTACTTTTCGATCAACTTATGTCAATTAGTGACTCTTGTGACATGAATATGTATATTCAAGTAAATTCATTTGATTTGTTTTTTATTGTTTAATTCTAATAAATAAATTTCTTAGAATATTTTGGTCAAAGAACTCAGTGCTAAATTAGGTGGTGTCAATCAATTTGTTTCATTAATGCGTGCATTAACATCACCACCAGCTCGATCTGATATATTTATGTTTTTTGGTATTGATTCTAGCCATATAACATGTTCACATGAACGATCTTCCATTGTTGCTATTACTGGATCAAAAGATTCCACAACTACACAATATGCTACTCGTATCGTAAAAGGATTTCCATCAACAGAAAAAATATCACTTGAAATTATCGAAGATTTTCATGGGAGGACAGAATTTCGGCCCAAGGAATTTTCGGCTCGGTCCCAAGGTCCGGCGGCGTTTCGGCCCGGACCGAAATATCACCGGAAATCCGGTCCGGGACGAAATTCCTCTCACTGCTATTCATAAAAAAAGTTCAACTTCAATGAATAGTTAGCGCATTTCGTAGTGCTGAGCAGTACGACGTAGTGCTGAGTAGTACGTCGTACACTCAAAAGAAACAAGTTATTCTCGGAAACCGGCGAGAAAATGGTTTCGAGGGCTCGGAAACCCATTTTTATGCTCTCGGAAATCCTTAAAAGGTTTCCTATAGTGACACACTCGGAAACCTTTTGCCACCGGTTTCCAAGAATACCTTGTTTTTTACAGTGTACGACGCACTACTCAGCACTCCGTCGTACTGCTCAGCACTACGAAGTGTACCAACTAGTTATAGAAATATGGCTTCTTTTAAGGGATTGACAAGGTGAATTTGGGCCTGGACCGAAAGTCATGAAGGACTTTCGGCCCAGGCCGAAAAATCACCGGACAGTCGGACCGTGCCGAAAATTCCTTGGGCCGAAATTCATGTAAACCATTTTCATATTCATGTTGATTATTTTTTACGTGTGTTTTCAAATTATAACTCACATTTACCAAATAAACTTGTCTTTTATCAAGTTGGCCGTCATAATCAATCATTTCAGAATATACTTAATCATGAATTACAAGAAGCTATTCAACGAGCATGTCAAGGTAAATATGATTGTTCAAAGACTGAATCAAATAAACCAATGCTTTTTTTTTCTATAGAATTATATGGTCATAATTCAATACCTCAAATTTGTTTTGTTCTTGTTAAAAAAAATCATAACACACGTTTTTTTATTTTGGATAAACAATCTAATCGAGCACATAATATTCAACCAGGTGAAATAGATTTTATTTGATTTTGTTGTTTGAATATTTGTTTTTTATCATTCTAGGAACAGTTGTCGATACCGACATTGTTCCACCAAATGGTTTCTATTTTGGTAACAGTCAAGAATGTCCTCGGTAAAATGTCCTTGACGAAATGTCCCCGACTTTTCGTCCTTGTGACAAAATGGTCCCCGATATTTTGTCCTTTGGAAAATGTCTTTCGGATGAAATGTCCTTGTGAAATTGTCCCTCATATAAAAAATGTCCTTTATTCGCAGCTGTTCTTGGAAGTGAATATAATGTCACCTGAATACAGATGACGCTATAGTCCAAACATATTTTATTCGATATTTCATTCGTAAATAAAGGATTGGTTTCTGTGAGTGTGGGTGTGGGTTTGGGTGTGGGTGGGTGTGGGTGTGGGTGGGTGTGTGGGTGCGGGTGTGGGTGGGGGTGGGTGGGGGTGTGGGTGTGGGTGTGGGTGGGTGTAATAGAAAAACAAAGACACAGGTATACCCTCATTCCCACACCCACCCACACCCACACCCCACACCCCACACCCTCACATTGATGTTCGATGTCCAAAAGGTATACTTGTTCCAGCACCAGTTTATTATGCAACACAATGTGTGTCACATCATCTGAATCTTCATCATCATAAACAAATATCAAACAACGAAGCTGTTTTTTCTGCAACAAATAAATATGATATTCAAGAATCTGAACAATCAACAAGTCGACCAAAATGGCTTACAGTTGACAGAAAATAATTTGCTGTATAAGTTTATTTTCTTCTTATTCATTCTTGTATAAGTTTATTTTCTTCTTATTCAGTGTTGTATCTTTTTTTCTGTTTTGACCAATATTCTAGAACTAATAAATTTTCCATTATGTAATAGTTTCTGATATTCAAATGATGATAATGGTGGCAAAAAAAAAGTTTAACACGAAGTTGAACTTGATTTGTAGCAGCAGCTAAACGAAGCATATTAGTAGCATGTTCACGATTCATACCAATAGACAGTTCATCATTTATTGAAAGAATTTCATCATCTCCCTAAATACCAAAGTAAACACTTCAGCCGCCCTCGATGGCAGAGAAAAAAAATTACTAAAAATCACTTCACTGCAAATCAATGTATCCGCTGATACTTCTAAATATATGGTGAGATATGATCAGTAAAAGGAAATTTTCCCTCTTGTGTATATATTAAACAATAGGGATATTATTATTCTACAGTTGTACAAATATCCGTCTAATAATGCATGAACTATCAAATGCAATTCAACTTAAAGTTGATACTGAAGAGAAAATAAAATTTGATACTATTCTCAAACACAATATTAATGGCAACAAAGTAAGTTAGTTTCTTTTTGTTTGGTTTTTTTTTATTTCTATCTTCTTTATTAGATTCTCTATTCAAATTTTGTCGATTTACTACCCAAAAGAACTTTGTGAAGATGATCCAAGTTTACAAAAACCATCTGAAGACAAATTAAAAGAGGTAAATCATATAATGATTATTAATTTACACTAATTTCTTTTATTTAGAAAATAGAAAAAACACGTCAAGTTCTTGAAGCTCTTGTATCATTTAAAGTATCAGCTGCTATATCAATTCAACATGCAGAAAAACAAGCACTTGTCTTGTTCAATACATTCGTTATAGACCATCACAACAAGAACCTTCTTTTAATTTCTGATGCTAAACAATGTATTATTCAAATTTTTGAAGTTCAAAAAGATCTTATGGAACCACCTCGATTTAAGTGAGTAAAGAAAATTCCTTGTGAACCTTCAAGTCCTCCAGTTCCAATTCTTCATTCACCGACACGAAAAGTTACTATAAAAGAACAACAAAATTGGAAGATCTCATTATGTATTTCCAATTGGAAAAATACTAAAGTATGAATTGTTTATTTTAGTTATTTGATTTGACAATGAATAAATTCTTTTAGGATTATACAATTCTACTTGATAAACATTTTTAGCAGCCGATGATCGTGGTCTTCAAAGTATACAAATCAATACGAATTTCGCTAAACTTGCTAAATCTTTATACACAGCTGATTTGAAGGTGAGATTTATCTTATGAATCGAAAAAAATATATATATATAATTTTTTTTTCTGTTTTTATTTTAGGCTCGTGAAGCAGTTGATATGCGTGCTAAAGTGGAAAAACAAATAGCTAAGAAACAAAAAGAAGAAAAAGAAGAACAATTACGTGAATTAGCTCTTCATGCTCGAACAGATCGAACAGGCATTTGTCTTGCTGGTAAATTATTTATTTGTCTACTTGAAATAAATGACTATTTTTTTCTTTCGATTAGATAAGAGTGATGATCAAAATGCTGAACATGATCAAATCCGATAAGAAAGACAAAAAGATTGACAACATGCTGGTGCTCTTCAACGAGCTCGAGGCGATAAATGGTAAAAAACAAATAATCTAAAGTAAAATGTTATTCTTTTTTTCTTGTTTTTATTTTAGAAATTGTCCGAAAGAACGTGATATTAGTAAATAAATTGTATTGGATGTACAAACTGCAAGTAGTACAAGTGTTCAATATGATCAATGTCTATTTAATATGTCGGCAGTAAAACATTTGTTTTTCATTTTCTTTCAATCATTAAACGGTTTTTTTTCTATTTGTAGGGTTTTGGTAGTAGTTTGGGTGATGATGAAGCTTATAATGTATATGATCAACCTTGGAATTCCTCAACTATTGTTGCTTCTCAAATTAATAAACCAATAAAAAACAACAAAAGATAATTTTGATGATACTGAAGCCTTAATTAATGCTTCTAAACGGTTCATTCTTTTTTTCTTTAATTGTTGAAAGAGTTTTAATCTTTTTTTTTTAGATTCGAACAAGAACGTGATTTCAAAGGAGCTGATCGAGCAGCACTACGTGACGATCCTGTGTAATTTCAACGTGATGAAGATCCATTTAGTTTAAGGGATTTCTTAAAAGATGTACGATATGGTAGTGTTAGTAGTTCAGCTTCATCAGCTAACCAATCTTCTAGTTCATCGTCTAAACATAGTCATGCAGATGATCGAGAAGAGTGAACTTGTGAAAAATGTCGCAAGAAATAAAATAACTTTACTTGGTGTTTTTTTTTGTATATTGTGTCTCGTTATTTCCTGATATTTTCTTATTGTTCTTTATCTCTCTATTACTCTTGAAATTGTTTACTATAATAAACAGAAGAAAAAAAAAATTCCTCATATAATTTATGTCACTATTATTAGCAGTTTTTGTCTTTGTCCCATTTGTCTATACAATGTTTTTTGATAGAAATAATAGTAAAACTTGTGTATATGCTTATGATCATCTGATATAGTTTCGTTTTTATTTGATAAATCGGAGAATCTGATACATATTCAATTTAAGTATTGAAACAGCATCTTAGAATATTTGACCATTTAAGTAATGTCAAATTGAGTCAGTTTAAATGAGGAGTATTTCATGTCAATAACATAACCTGCGTGTAAAAAGTCTTTGCACAAAATGTTCGTTCACTTTTTGACCACTTGAAAACAACTAGTGAAGACCAAAAGTAGTTAGTTGGAATCAGAATTTTGTGCTCTATCAGAATATATACTTCGAATTTTTTTCTAACCTAAGGCTGGTTCACTGCGAGCAAATGTTTGAAGGGACCGAAATAATTATCCGTACAAAGCAAAATACGTTTTTTTTTGCAATCCGCTACTTTTCCAGACTATGCTTAAGCGCGGTTTTAATTAGGCGTTTTTCTAGAGCATTCAATTCTGTACAAAACTGGGTATTATAATAGAGTAGAA